GAAATATGTACCTGAAAGATTACTAAGAAGTTGGTTTCCTTACAAACTGCTCTTGTTAAGCTCTTCCTAAGCCTGTAAAGTGTTATATTTATTCTTTAAAGATCTTTTCTACAAGAACAGTTTACATAAAATTACTAAGGGCTCTTTAGTATCTGACTCATAATATAACTGGTCTTCAGACTTTTCTCCTCAACATTCTAATTTTGATGGTAATGATGAGGATGATGATATTATCATGTGGCTTCAACCTACTGTCCTTATCATTCGCAAAGTGTTGGGCCTAGTGTTTTAAATGTTGCCTTATTTAATCCATTCAATGACCCTATAGGTAGATTATTATTGCACTTCCATTAAAAAAATGAATAAAAAAAAGAATAAAAATAAAAACAAAAAACTGAAGCTAAGAGCTTGCCCAAAGTCATATAGTCCATCGTCTTTCCTTCCCTTGTGGGACTTCAGTTATGCTTCCAGGATAAAGTGACATGTTCTAACAAACATCTCATGCTTTTTCCTTTTTCGTGTCCCACCCCTCCAACCCCCCACAGGTTTTAGTCTGGGTGTTTTCTTCTAACTTATTGTCCAGTTGACCAATTCTCTCTTCGGCTGTGTCGAATTTGCTATTTAACCCATTACTGAGTACTCGATTTACTACACTTTTCAGTTCTAGTATTTCCATTTTGTTCTTTTTCATATAATTTTCAGTTCACCCAAATGCTCCACTTTGTCATTTAATTTCTTAAATATAATAAGCATAGTTATTTAAGTCTATGCTTTAAACTCCAGTATCTGATTAGGCCGTGGATGTTTCTATTTCAATTGTTTCAGTCTTGCTTTTTATTATTCTGATTATTTTTTTTAAAGATTTTATTTATTTTTATTTATTCATAGAGACAGAGAAAGAGGCAGAGACACAGGCAGAGGGAGAAGCAGGCATCATACAGAGAGCCTGATGTGGGACTCGATCCAGGGTCCCCAGGATCACACCCCGGGCTGCAGGCGGCGCTAAACCGCTGCGCCACCAGGGCTGCCCTATTCTGATTATTTTTTACTGAATGCTATACATTACATATTTGGAAATGTGGAGATAATTTGAGGCCATGGATTAAGTTATCGTCCTTCATAACAGATTTACATTTGTTATTCACAGGCAGTTTAGGTAACAGCTTCCACTCCTAGGATAAAGTACAGCCTTTCTGGTGTCTCGGTTCAGCGGCCAGGGAGGTTCATCATAATCTCTCCATGCCTGTTGGACCACAATTCCAATGTCTCCTCAGCACCGCATAACCTCTAAAATGTGTTTGGCTGCCATTTGCCAGATGTTGTTTGGCAAGCTACACACATGTGCAGGTTAGGAATTAGCCAGGGACCCACAGGAAACCTCTCAGGTTTCTTTTTCTGCAATACCTTCCTCTCTGGTGCCCTGACCCGCCAACTCCTACAAAATCCCAGCTACGTTAGCAATGAACTCTGTTTCTTTCAGTAAGACTGCCACTGCTTGAGCTCCATCTCCCTGTGCCATGGTTTAGAAGACTCCAAGGAAGAAAGCCTGGGTGAGATTGGGACTCCCCTTGTGTGCTTCCCTTCTCTTAGTTTATAGTCCCAGGTTAGGTGCTGCCAGATAGTTAGTTTTGGCCAGATCCTGGTTTTCTTCGTAACCTACCTGTGGTAGGCACATTCCTGCAATGGCCCCTAACATTGCCACCCCCTGGTGAACATGCTCTGTATAATCAATCCTCTCCCCTGAGTAGGAGCGGGCCCTGTGCATGTGATGGACGTCACTCCATTATGTTACACCGTATGGCAAAGGCAAAGGGACTTCACTGATGATGTAATTCAGGTCCTAGGTGAGCTAATAAAAATGGAGAAATGGAGATTACTTGCTCAAGTGAAAGGCCTTAAAAAAGGAACTGGAGCTTCCTGGAGAGATGCTCTCCTGCTACCTTTGCAGAGGCCAAGAGCCATGCTGTAAAGTGTGAGTGAGGAGGAGTGGCCTCATGTATTTTTGTTCTTAGATTTGCCAGGTGTTTATTTCATTAGTCTCTCAAAAAGAATTAGTGTTAAACATCAGCTCTTTTAGGGATTTGTCCTTTCTATTTCCCTAGTTGATGGACTCCAGTCTTAAATTTTAATCTTACTAGTTTCCTGATTTGTTGATTGTAATTTCTCCTTTCTCATGATGAAAAATTCCAAACCAGCTTAAACTATAGCAACTCAGTCTTGTTTTACCCATATGCCCTCACAAAACCATTTGGATGTAAACCATCATTATAATTCCATCTGCAAGTCTTTGAGTACAGGCATACCTCGTTTTATTGCGCTTGCTGTATTGTGCTTTGCAGATATCGCCTTAAAAAAAACAAAACAAAACTGAAGGTTTGTAGCAACCTTGCAATGAGCAATTCTATTGGCACCATTTTTCTAACAGTATTTGCTCACTTTGTGTTTCTATGTCACATTTTGATAATCTTGCAATATTTATAATCTTTCATGGGATGCCTGGGTGGCTCAGCGGTTGAGCATCTGCCTTTGGCTCAGGGTGTGATCCTGGAGTCCTGGGATCGAGTCCCACGTCAGGCTCCCTGCACGGAGCCTGCTTCTCCCTCTGCTTATGGCCTCTGCCTCTCTCTCTCTGTCTCTCATGAATAAATGAGTAAAATCTTTAATAAAAATAAATAAATAATAAAAGCTTTCATTATTGTATTTCTTTAAAATTTTATTTATTTGGGCAGTCCCGGTGGCTCAGTGGTTTAGTGCTGTTTTCAGCCCAGGGCGTGATTCTGTAGACATGGGATCTAGTCCCACATTGGGCTCCCTGCTCCCTCTGCCTGTGTCTCTGCCTCTCTGGGTCTCTCATGAATAAATAAATAAAAATAAAATAAAATTTCATTTATTTGAGAGAGAGAGAGACAAAGAGAGAATGGGGGGCGGGGAGGGAAAGGGAGAAGCAGGGAGTTTCTGAGCAGGGAGCCCGCTGCCAGGCTGGATCCTAGGACCCTGGGATCATGACCTGAGCTGAAGGCAGACGCCTAACTGACTGAGCCACCCCAGGCGCCCCTCTTTTATATTTATGATGATCTGTGATCAGTGACAAAGACTTGCTGAAAGCTCAGATGTACATTGCTTTTTAAAGACATAATGCTGTTACACACTTATAGACTAGTTTGACGTAAACTTGACATTTATATGTGTTAGGAAACCAAATGTATTTAACTTGCTTTATTGCAATGTTCACGTTATTGCAGTGGTCTGGAGCCCAACCCACAGTATCTCCAAGGTATGGCTGTATAAATTCTAAAAGAGAAGGACTTTATTTTTTTATTTTTATTTTTTTAAATTTTTATTTATTTATGATAGTCACAGAGAGAGAGAGAGAGAGGCAGAAACACAGGCAGAGGGAGAAGCAGGCTCCATGCACCGGGAGCCCGACGTGGGATTCGATCCTGGGTCTCCAGGATCGCGCCCTGGGCCAAAGGCAGGCGCCAAACCGCTGCGCCACCCAGGGATCCCAAGAGAAGGACTTTAAAAAATAACAATGGCTATATCAACACCTAAAAATCTGTACTAATGGGCAGCCCGGGTGGCTCAGCAGTTTAGTGCCGCCTTCAGCCTGGGGCATGATCCTGGAGACCCAGGATCGAGTCCCACGTCAGGCTCCGTGCATGGAGCCTGCTTCTCCCTCTGCCTATGTCTGCCTCTCTCTCTGTGCCTCTCATGAATAAATAAATAAAATCTTAAAAAAAACAAAACTGTACTAATTCTTCAGTATCATAATTTAAAGGGTTTTACTAGAGTTCAATGGAGGGACAAGGACAGAGCCAAGGTCAAGATGCCATCCACGCAGGATAGTCCCTGCTGTAAGGGCGTGGCTTTCAAACACCAAGAAATACATTGTATAAGGCACCTCAGTTCAATAGCGCCTACCTGTGGAACAAAGAACTACTTCCCAAAATACTTACATTTCCATCTGGGCTGCCCCCTTCTCTTCTTTCTCTTTTTCTCTCAATCTTCTAATGCTGATTGTAACCCACTAGATTGATTTCACATTTCACTATGGTTCTATTATCTGCATTTTGAAAGACAATCCCACAAAGCAAACTTTAAAAAAAATACATATTTTATTTACTTATGAGAGAGAGAGAGAGAGAGAGAGAGAGAGAGAGCGCACACACAAGAAGGGGGAGCAGCTGAGGGACAGGGAGAAGCAGGCTCCCGGCTGAGCCAGGAGACCGATGAGGGGTTTGATCCCAGGGACAAGGGCCATAGACAGATGCTTAAGCAACTGAGCCACGGAGGTGCCCCCTCAAGCAAGCTTCTAACTATTAACTGAAAAGGTTTGGGATGAGTTACAGATACCACTTTTGAAAGAAGGGGCAGAAACAGCTTTTCATCTACTGGGTGCCTGGTGTCAGATGCGAACCCGTTCCACGTTCAGTGCATTGCTGTCTGGAATCTCTCACTCATCTGTAACGCTTCCTGTGCTGAAGACCATTCTGGCAGAGGGTAATCAATGGCTTAAGAGCTTTCTAAGAGTCAGCACAAAATATCTGAGCCCCCACTGCCAGTTTCTTCTATCTGGAAGTGAACTAGTCTATTTCTGCTCAGAATTTCAGTATCTGCTTTGAATAATGTAACGGTCAAGCACATTTATCCATGAATTCTTACCCAAATATGGACTACCACCCATCTTCCTGAATCACTGAAGACTAATAATTTAATTGAAACAATTCCGAAGGTGCAAACAGCTTTTACCTCTTTGAGGATAAATTCTGCTGACATCAGCCTTCTCTTTAGAAATACAAACTATAACCCTGAGGTTCAAGTGAAACAAGTAAGCAGCTATCAAATTCCATGAAAAAACAAACTCCTTCGACATTAAGCAAGTCCAGCTGAGACCTTGGAACATCCATCTCTAGGGACCAGAATTTATGTAGCACGTATTTAATAACTTCAGTAGCTCGTTCCTTGGTTTCTGACCTTCAAAGAAAGGAAAAACACTCCTCTTGTGTACTTTAAAAGAGCTTTATTTAGTATATAATCTCCGTACAATTCAGTACAACAAATTATAAAAGCTCTTCGTAAGATTTTACCCATAGGATGTTAAATACAGAAAATCAATTGCCAATTGCCACAAGAAAGCAAGCCACTCTCATCTTAAAAGCTTTTTTCCATCAACAGATAAGCACTCTCTTCTAGGCCAAAAAGGTTGTCATATATAAAGCATTTGGGAGCATATTAACCAAGATACATGATCTGGGAACATTTTGTATCTTCCTATTTAATTCCAAGGTTTCAACTGAATTTTAAAAATGGGAGTATTTCTATGTTAACTCAGGTAAGTTTTGGCCAAAGATAAGCTAAAATTGGTACATCTTAGACAAAGTTCACATGGAATGAGAGTAAACATTTTTAGTTAACTGTGAAATAAAGATGCAGACCAGATGAAATATCTACATAAGTCCTAGCCCTCCGGCAGCACCGACCAACACACGCACACGCGCACATGTGCACACACACGCGCACCCCCAGCTGACCTCACAAAGAAAGAAAATCGTCTGTAAGTGGACAACAGATGGCCTACTTAACACCTAATTATGCTCCTGGCTAATATATCTGAAACGAATCCCTATTTCTTCGGACTGTAATAAAAGTGACTGGAACCTTTCAACTATACTAGAATCTCTAATAGCCACTGTGATCAGTATCAGTCATTTAATGAAGCCATTTAATGAAGTAAGTAGATCTAAGTAGGGAATCGTAACCTTAAATGTGTAATAGTCCATTCATTTGCTAATCTTCTGCTGTGAAGCCAGGGTCTTTCCTTTGCAATAAGGGTTCAATGATTCCAGTTCTATTCTTGCATAAATCGTACCAGGAACGTGGTTTGGGTATGTTCTAATACCTCTGGTCAGTAGAGATGTTTTTAAAGGTGCAACAGGTACTTTATAAAGCAATCTGAGCTCTGAAATTTTCTTGAATTTCATGTTCCCAATATTTTATAATTTTCCCAACCACAGGTAATTTACTCAAAAGCAGTTTTTATTAGTGACTCAACGTTATCAAGCCTTACCAAAGCAGTCAAGTTAATTTTCAGAAATAACCCTTTTTACGCCATTTCCTATGCTTGTGTTGAAGTGTGTACTTACTCTAAGAAGGGGAACTCGCACAGGGCAGTTTGGTACGAGTACAGAACTCACAGGAGGGAGCTCGGGAATGAGAGGACACTGGGGAGCAGTCTGGTTCGTCAGCTCACAAGACGGGTGGAGACAGTCAGGGAATCTGGGGAGTCACGTAAGTAGAGGATCATTAAGAGCACTTATTGTACTGAGAGGTTCTTCTAGCTAGCTAGCTCTGAAGCAACATCAAGGGGTTATCCTCCCCATAAAAAAACAGCCACGTTTGAGGCCACGACCAAACATTAACACAGCTGCTGAGATCTGTGTGGTGGGAGCGACGGCCCCCGGTGCCCTGCTCTGGCCTGGTACAGAGCCAGGCGTCAGCCACTCTTCCCCTTTCCTCCTGCGGACTCCAACAAGAAGATCATACAAGAGAATACTGATGAACGCTAAGAACGTTTAATGGGATTTGTTGACAGACTTGTTCATCAGCAAAGAAAAATGTCTACTACACATGGTCACAGTGTCTTGGAAAGAGTGTATGTATGGACTCTGTCTTGCAAGATTTTTTTTTTTTTTGGCACTTTATATTTTTCGCTGAAGACTAAACACTAAATATCTTGGCAACAATGGCACCTACACTAGGAGAAAAAGATTCCTGCGTGCCATCAAGATGGTGATAAGCATACACATTTAAGGACGTGTTTCTTATGCTGAGACTCCACGTATGCAAACGCTTAGATTAGTGCATATAGAAGTATTTAAAATAAAACTGGAATATATCTGGAAGGTGATCGAGGACTTTAAAAACAAAACTACGTAGTCTAACATGTACCTTACGTGTGCTTCGTTTCAATGAAAAGTAAGGCACTCGCCGAAGGATGTGCTGACCCATGCTGTCAGCCACACCAGGCATGCATCATTCCTGGCTTAAAGTTCTCCTACTGATTAAAGTGTTTTGTTACTGTGTTACCCTAAACTGCAGTGGTCTCCAACCTTCTTACAGAATATAGGAAAGACATAATTCAGGTGTTTCAGCTGCATCATTTAGTAACCCAGCCAATTTTTTTTTTAATTTAAATAAGTTTGGATAAAAAAGCCGAGTATCCTGGAGTCCAACATGACAGTCTAAAATTTCTTTTTTTGAACACTGTTTAATAAGTAGTAACTGAATGTGAAATAACTTGGACGTGTGATCTGTCTAGCTTGATGCCTAGGGTACTTCAGTACAAGTGCAAGGAGAGACCTTTCCATCATTTCCAGTTGGCAAGAACAGGGGAGAAAGTTAATTTCATTAGCCACCTTGATTTAGTTAAATGTGCAATAAGCTTTTATCAGCAACTTTTACATGTCCCCCTCATTAGAAATTAATTAGAAAAGCAATCATCAAAAAATGTTTGAACAGGTATACATAATCCTCTTTGTTGTTTACAAATAAGCATGACTTAGAGGCACTTAGTTACCTTTTAGTAAGAAAAAGAATAACATTACCCGGGCCCTCACAGTTAAGATTGGAGACCACAAATCAAATTTGGTATGAAAATGCTCTCTGCCAAAAATATTGTATTCGTGAATTAGTTAAGATAGAACATTTTAAAAATATTCAGACTTTGCAAGGTTCTAGGCTGTAAAAAATACAAAGGCTAAAAACAAAAAGTTTAGAAAATTTTGCAAACCCAGTAAATTTAAATGAGTAAGAAATGAAGAAAAATTTTCTTACTTGCAGGATAGGCTAAATAGTATCAATAGGTTTTAAAATAACACTAAACAGTAACAAATTCTGCTCGGCTACATAACATTTCTGCTCTTTTCACGACTTACAATAATGAATTTGTCACACTTTTCTGTATCCCACATTAAAACATGCACCTGCATGCATGCGCGCCCACACACACACACACACACACACACACACACTGAAGTGCTAAACTTTACATTTCAGACAGGGCACAACGAAAAGTTTTAGATATATATACAAAGACCTAACATGATTTTTTTAAAAAAATATTAAAAGCATGACGATTGGAAAACATTATAAAATGTTTAGGTGAAACAGGACAATAAAGAGCTTTTTAAAAAGCTCCCCGTTGGTCTTCACTAGTGAAACGATACTGAAGAATTTAACTATGCATCCCCTTAATTCGACTCAACCATAGCTGTCTGAAGTCAATTGAAAGTATTTCAGATCCCGAACAGCCTCTGGATTTCCTGAATGACGTGTGGCTGTTCAGGCTACCTGTGGCACACTTACGTTTCTCCCCAACAACAAAATTTGAGACCACTCCTAGAAAGGTGAGAACCTTTAGGCTAAAGAACATTAATGAAACGAGATAAAAAAGAGAAGCTTGTGTTAAGATACTTTTGAGGACGGTGACGCTTGTGTAAACATCTCTACAACTTCCTCCTATCACAGCTTTGTGGTACAGGCTACCTAAAGACATATGAAATGTTACTGTTGAGTTGCATTAGGATGGAATTTCAGTATCAAAAATAGAGGTTGGACAGAGAGCTTGGTTACTTGTTTCTAGATAGCTTGTAAACATGGAACGTCTTGTTCTGGAACACTCTAGTGAAGTACGCTGTGTAGGGTGGCAGGTTTCTCTTTATCTCTTCGCAGAAGCGAGGGTGGCCTGCAAGTTTCAAGTCGGGATCGTTCTCTCCTGGGCCATCCATCATCTAAAGCCAAAACAAAACCAAACACGGTTTGGGAAACAAAATCGTATTGATAGGAGAGGAGAGAAGTAGGAACAGGTGTTGGGTTTCTTTGAGAGTCATGTGTTACAGCTACGTAAGTTGTATTATTTCAATGTCAGTGGCTGCTTCAAGATTATCTGGTCTACCTCTTCCCCGTCGGAAGTTTAAACCAAGGCTGAGAAGGGGAGCTGACGGTCGCACAGGGACCACCTTTAACTGCAAGGCGAGAAGTAGAACTTGGATCTCCTTGTTCTTCGGGACGTACTAACTACACTGTCACTCTCACAAAAATGAGATGCAGAGTGCTCGCTTTGGCAGCACGTATACTTAAAAAAAAAAAAAAAAGTGAAATGCAGAGAAGAATTACTATGACCAGAGGAAATCCTCCAACTCATCAGATGGTCTAGTTAGAGAAAGTTACACACAAATCAAAATTTAAATGCAAGTCTTGGGTCTGTTATCTCCTCTGAATTCAAGATAGTTATAGACAGTTACTTTCCTTGGGCAAAAATCTGAATCTCATGTTCTCTTTCCCCCGGATTTACTGAAGCGTAATTGACTAAACTGCATACAGTTAAGGGCTACAACCCAATAATCTGATACACACATACATGGTGGAGTGATTACCACAATCAAGCTAATTAATACTTCCACGTCGGTCAAAGGGACAAACCTGCAGTAATAAGGTGAATTAGGTCTGAGGCTCTGACCGCACAGCATGGTGACCACAGTTCATGGTCCTACCCACATGCCTGACATATGCTAAGAGAGGGACGCCCAGGTGGCTCAGCGGTTGAGCGACTGCCTTCAGCTCAGGGTGTGATCCCGGGGGCCGGGGATCGAGTCCCGTTTTGGGCTCCTTGCAGGGAGCTTGCATCTCCCTCTGCCTGTGTCTCTGCCCCTCTCTGTGTGTCTCTCATAAATAAATAAAATCTTAAAAAAAAATATGCTAAGAGAGTAGATCCTAAGCGTTCTGAGTCTCTAATTCTGTATGGTCAAGTTTTCTTTTTTGAGAATTTATTATTTCCAAATGGCTTATCATTTCTCCCCCCTCATTTTCAGCACACACGGCCTCTTGGTGCAACTCCTCTGCTGTGCTCTCATCTGAGGCCTGGCGGGGTTCCAAGGCCAAGTTCCTCCGGAGGGAGGAGGGAGAGGCAGCCTGCTGCTCGGGGACACAGGCTCGGCCACAGGAAGCCGTGTCTGAGGGCAGTGCCGGGAACAGCGTGGGCGCGGCCCTGCCGTCCCAGCCACACTCATGCACCGGCCCAGACGATGCTCCGGAGCTCAGGTCTTTGGAGGCTGAGCTCTTGTTTTAACGGCAAAGCCTTTAAAGACGAATTTTATGCAAAGCCCCAGGACACAGATCAGCTGAAGGCAGAGGTGCTCTGCTGGACGTGGCTGGGACATCCTTCTAGAAGGTACAGACACCCGGGTGGCCCCCACACGAAGCGAGGGGACGATGTGCTTACGTGCCCGTTGGCGACGTCCAACAGGTCCCGCAGCCGGCAGCCCCGCTGGTGCCTGCGCTCGTAGCAGATGCTGTCCTCCAGGATGACGTAGTCGGTGCCAAAGGACCTCAGCAGGGCGTGCACGTCCTCCGGGGACCTCTTGGCGTATATCTGATACACCTGCGACGGGAGAGCGACGTGGAAGGGGTGGCAGTGGCCCTCGCTGCCGGGAGTGAGCGGCGCGGGGGGATGGGGGTCCCAAGAGGCGGCTGTCGTCACGGAGCCCGGGCCGGGGGGGGGGGCAGCCACCCCGCAGACATGGACTCAGGCGTCCCCGGGGTCCTGCGGCACGAGAGGCCAAGTGCAGGTGGTGCAGGTAGGACAGCGCTGCACCTTCACAGAGATGGTGGGGGGACGGGGCGCCTTAGGCATCCAGGGGGAGCGTGCGGCGCCCTCACCACGAGGAGCCCAGCCTGTGGCCTGGCGGTCGTGCAGGAAGAGCGCCACGGGCCTCGGTGCTAGGTGCTCGCTGCGTGGTCCGGGGAGCCCACCCCGCTCTCTCGACCCTCCCACTCGCCACCAGCGTGGCATGCTGGGCGAGCACCCACGAGGTGAGCACCCCGCCTTCTGGGACTCGACACTGGGAGGACGTTCCGCGTGTGCACGTGTGCAGGGGGCTGGCGGTGGGTGACAGAGAGGGGCGCCGGCCGCTTTCCTGCACGCGGATGTCCACGGATGTGCCAGCCTGCAGGTGTCGGGGGAGGGGCAGAGGGGGGCCTCGGCCCTGCAGCTGGAGGCCGTGGGCCATCCTCACGCCCAAGGCGGCCCCAGGACTCGAGGGCACCAGGACCTTGAGGGCGTGGGTTTTGTGAGTCCCCAGATGCGGGCTCTGAGGCCCAGCCCCACGGCCCCCTCCCGCTTGAACTCTGGGGCTGAGCCAGGCACCCTCGCTGCCTCCTCGGCTGACTTGGGCATAGACAAGGGACCAGGATGCACCCCTCGTCCTCTGCCTTCCCTCCCCGACGCCCCCTTGTCTACACCGCAGGCTGGGGATCTCGTTACCCTTCGGAGCAGGAGGAGGTCTCCGGGCGCCTGTAGGGGCCGTGGGCAGGGCAAGGCCTCGACTCAGGAGATGCCAGGGGCTTCAGGCCCGCCTCGGCCGCCGAGCTACCTGGGGCAGGGACCCCCGCGGCCCACCCACGCCACCCCACGCCCCGGCCAGGAGGCCAGGGCCCGCCCTCACCGCTTTGGTCCGCTCCCTCAGGCTGTTGTCCTCGTAGTGGGGGTGGTTGGTTAAGGTCCTGCCCGTGCACAGCTTGACCCCGGCCAGCAGCTGCATGCTCCCAGCGAACACGGCCTTCCTTGGCGTGTTGGAGCTGAAAGGTCGCGAGAGGCTGGTTAACCCCATGGCTGCGATTTCCTCACAGACGACAAACAAGACAAGACAACCTCATGCTGCCGGACTCACCCGGCTGCGTCAGGAAGGCCTGAGACTTGGGGGGAGACGCAGCACCTGGCTGCCTGACACTTGCACTCAAACTGTTTTATGAAACTTCCCCTGGTTTTGACAGCGGGCGGGAAGCTTCTCCTTGACGCTTTGCTGGGCTTCCTTACAGTGGACGGCCCTCGGGCCTTCCAGGCCAAGTCCCCCGGTCCCCTCCTGGTCTCGCCCCAGAGGGGCAGATCCCGACCACACAGACCTCCGCAGACGGTCATCGCCTTCTGTACGAGACTTAACTAAGAGGCTGCCTACAGTCAAACAGATGACAAAGCCAGAGACTGCCGCGATCACGGGTTCCTCCCAGCTTGGTTTTGTTCCAAACAAGAAAATGGACCACAGATAAGTGATAAATTACTTCCCAGAGAAAGCGAATTGGTAACAACAAAAGGACACAGAAGATTCTGGAAAGCAGGGAATGTACTACTCCGCTTGGGGATGTCCACCATTTGTGATGTGGCAACGCAAGTATTTCCTACGTTCCCTTCCTTAGTCCTGATGATGAAAGTCCAAGGACTGTGGGGAACATGGGGCACTCCTGTTGTTAAATCATGACCCCCTGGCTCTCCGAGGGCCACCGAGCTGCGATTCTCTGCCTCCGCACGGGGCGTGAGGGACAAGGATGGTGGGTCAAGGAAGGACTCCCTGATGACTGTGAAAGCATTTTTCCTTCCCGCCCCCCGGAAAGAAAGAATCTTAGTAGTGGATTTTAATTCCCTTCCATTTTTTTGGGACATGGGAGTCTCTTGCAAATCAACGAGGTGCCGGTTTACTGTGAAGAACACGAGCGCCCTTCTACGACTCTCCGCTGAGGCCCACGGGGGGCACCGCAGCCCACACGGGCCCTTCCCGGGCTAAGGAAGAGGCGCCCCGGCCTGCCAGGGGGAGTGAAAAGACGGAGACGGTTTTGAGAAGGAGTCTAAGTGCAATCATTAGAACTCAGCATACTCTGTAGAAAGAACCAGAGCAGGCTGTTCTCAGCGAATCTGGAGATCAGGGCAGAAACCCCAGCGCTAGGTTTCTGGGAGAGGCTGCCATCGCTCCCCATGTGGCACGAGCAGGTCTACGTGCGTCAGCGCAAGGCTCAGACCGCGGTGCGAGTGCCATCCAACGGAGGCCTCGGGATGCCTGGAAGACGTCCCACGGTCCAAGCTGCAATGCTTACAAATCATTTCCTTGAAGAACTCGGGGTTTTCTAACCATGACCCCCTCGTTCACTTGGATTTCAAGGAGCTGTCTCACATGACGGAACGTGGGTCCAAGCGCAGCGGGCACCCGGGGAGGACACACAGCCTGCATCCCTCCCTTCCCTAAACCCCAGAGCCCGGCGCGTGGACTGCCACGGAAGAGCGTTTTCCGAGAGCGGGGCTGCGCTCGATGGATGGTCAGTGTTCTGACGGGCAGGCCCAGGGGCCCGAGAACAAGCAGATGTTTGCTCCGTCCCCTTGAAGTGGCACCTTACAGGGAACTCTTGACATCGGCCCCTTGAGGTCAGGGGGACAGGAGGGCTTCAGGGACAACACGTGATGGTGGAGTGAGCGCTCCTCAGCAGGAGACTTAGCTGAATGCAACTGACCCTTGTTAAGCAGCTCGTCGGGGCCGCCCCCATCCCCGCGTGCTGGAATGGCCAAAGAGGGTGAGCACCGACAAACACTAACTACAGAGAATGTCAATGTTTCCCCAAGCCGTCCTCCGTTCCTTTTGTACACTCCGGACTGGCTTAAGCCATTCCACTGCAGTAAATAATGCAGTTAATGCCACGTATTAGATGGATGCCAAAAAGTGGCTCTTTGGGACCACGGAACCGAACAGACTGAGGACGCAGGAAGAAATGAAGTCTGGTCTCCCCATCTGGCAGAGCACGGGGTAGAGCGAGAGCGAGCGGTGGGGGGCAACCCCGGCCTCTCCAGTCCTACTGCCCAGAGGGTGCCGAACCGGCCTTTCTACCCAAATGACAAAGCCTGTGGCTGAGCTGAGAAGATCCATGCAAATCTTCAGACTCAGCATCACTATTCTGAATTCCAACGGGGGGCAGCGGCGGGGAGACGCAGAGCTGTTTCTAGTGTCTATTTTGTAACTGTGGCACATACCGATGACTGGCCTGTTCTCTATTCGTGGCTCACGACCAAGGTTTCGTCTCCCTTCCTGGGCTATGATCCCACCACTTGGAGGAACTTCACAGTTCACAGAGGTCTGAGATGTCCAAAGGCCTGAACTGCTTGCCGGAGAGCTACAGGCTCATTCTCTGTCCAAACGACAGTGCTGAGGGCCTACTAGGTGCCGGGCCGCAGCGTGCTAGCTAGTCAGCCACCAGAGCCAGCCTCGGCTCCCTCTACAGGCAGACACTTCTGAACAAATGAGTCGGTGCGGCGCGCGTTTGCCAGTGCTTTCTGTGGGCCTTCAGCTACCCTGGGAAACAAAACACACCAGACAAGGTCCCATCGTGGCCAATCTTGCCTCTCTCCTCCGGGGGGCCCGAGCACACTGGAGTGTCCCCTTGCCCACAGTGGGTGCAGCCCCCGGGGAGGGCAGGGGGGTAGGTCACATGACTGCTTAGAGGCGCTGGGAAAAATGAAATAAACTGCACTCATCTGTCACGTGTTTTAGTGTGTGGCCCCCCATTAGTAAAGAGTCAAAGTTGAATGTCATCTGTTTCAACTGTTGGTGTAACAATCTTCTGGATTGTTAACAGTCTTTCACCAAGATCCTTGGTTTTACTTTATTTAAGATTTTATTTATTTATTCATGAGAGAGAGAGAGAGAGGCAGAGACAAAGGCAGAGGGAGAAGCAGGCCCCATGTAGGGAGCCCGACGTGGGACTTGATCCCGGGACTCCAGGATCAGGCCCTGGGCCGAAGGCAGGCGCTAAACCGCTGAGCCACCCAGGGATCCCCCTTTAGTTTTACTTTATTTTTTTAGTTTTACTTTAAAGTAGCAAAATACAAGTATCCTAATGCCTATAAAATGGACTAGAAATAATACTTCTTTGAAAACTACTGACTTCCAAGCATGGCAGAGATGAGGTTTATTCGTTTTCTCCTACGGACTCGGTTTGATATGCCAGCCCCATGGTAAATCTGGGGTACTTCACTGCTACTTTAAATATTTAAGTTTACTCATAAAGCAAAGGCAAAGGAAAACAAGCAAAGGGAAACAAAAAACAAGGACACACTTTCTGAACTTTAAAAGCCTAGATCCCCCGTGTTTTCTATTTTCTGTGGTGAACTTAGCAGGCAAAGCGGAAAGGCGTTCTTTGTCCTTCAGATATGCAGCACGGCAGGTGTGACGCTGGCTACTCCTCCTTCAGAGATACTTCTGCTGACACAGTCTGTGGTCTGTGTCTAAAATAGCTAATGTGCTTTTAACCACTGAATGACACTTCTCTATTATAGGAAAACAAAGCAATTTTTACCAATGTTTGAACAAATGATGTATAAAATGAAAGGATAATTTGTTTTTATAGCTCTCTGCCAAGCTCTGTAGCAGGCTGCCCAACCTGCAAACAATTTATTCTGTAAGAAATGTCACTAAATAATGACAAGGACTCACAGGTCAAACGGATTTACATTACATAATTTAAATGTCATTCCAGGAAGACCTGATGGCATTTTGAACAAATAATCTCATTTATTTTTGAAGCTCTAAGCTTCAACAAGTTAATTACTGTTGAACTAATGGGTAAACTGAGCATTATAATATAATGTGTGAACATTTGCTTTATCTACACTTCAAAAATTTATAGAATTATGCAAATACCACAAAATGATTCATTAAATATAAAAGAGGCTTATAGGCATTTAAGGTCTGAACTTAACCTTCATCATATTTAAAATATCCAGTAATTCTTTCTGCTTTGATAAAATGCTAAGGAAGTTTGGGCCATTTTCTTAGTTCCATTGAGAAAATATGGCACACGCAGGCTTCATCACTGAAGAGAGCCTACTGCCAGTGGGAAATCTTCTAAAGCGCCATAGTTAAAATGTTACATCTCAAAATATTCAAATCTATAGGAGTGTCTTAATTGCACCACGTCCAAGAAGAATTTCAGGAACCAAGAATGAAACCACTCGGGGTCACAAAGGAATGAGGTACGAAGCACTGCTGTTGTGGCATTTGGCCTCATGGAAGGAAATGTGCTTCCCAGACGCACATAAAGCCCAACCAGCACCCCCTGAGTCCGGCTCAAAGTGATACCAGACCATTAAAAAAATTGACACCCCAAAACCAAAAGGCCAACACATCAGGTTTTTAATCTTTGTATCTGGGAAACATTATTGGCAAAAGAGTTAATATGAACATGGGCAAAATCTGCTGGGGAGCAAGGCCTGTGGCACGTCCGTGTCACGCGGGACGCAGGCCACCAGGTGAGCATGCCGCCTGGCGCCTTGCAAGGGAAGGACCGAGTGGCCTCTCCGTCCTCCCAGGGAAGATTCTGGGGCTGATGTCAACTAAATGTCCTCGCTGATTAATGAGAAATTGAATCTCAAAGTTTTCTTAATTTTATACTTAAAACTTAAGTCTCCAAGGAACTGAAGCTAGGAAATTTCTATCACTAAAAATTAGAACTATAAAAAAATTTCTCTTGAAACCCGGTAAGCCTCTAAAAATCTTTAAATGGAGTCAACAATAAGAATACAGAAGAAAAAAAAGAATGGAGACAATATAGGGCTGACATGAGGCTCAAGTTTTGCTTCAGTGAAGAGAGAGTTAAAGTAGATGGAGGGCACCTGCATGGCTCAGCTGGTTGAGCGGCGGCTGACTCTTGAATTTGGCTCAGGTCATGATCTCAGGGTTGCGAGGTGGAGCCCGACTTAAGATTCTCTCTCTCCCTCTCCTGCCATTCCCCCACCTCTCTCGCTCTCTCTTGCTCTCAAAAAAAGAAAGAAGGGACAGCCACCCCATTTACAAACAGTCATCATCATGTCCCGTGCTCCATAAACAGCTGTTGAATTGTATTCCTAAGTATACAAGTTCTGATATAACTTCATGTTGGGTGCCTGGGTGGCCCAGTCGATTACACATCTGCCTTCAGCTCAGGTCACGATCTCAGGGTGCTGGGATCAAGCCCCACATCGGGCTCCCTCCTCCGTGGGGAGTCTGCCTCTCTCTCCTGCCTCCCGCTCTCCCTGCTTGTGCACGCTCTCTCTGTCCAACAGCTAAATAAAATAAAATCTAAAAAAAAAAAAAAAAGATATGACTTCATGTATTAATGCTTTAAACATTTTCATAGAAATCTAATCCCTCCACTACAGCTCCTGTCATATTAATAAGTGATATCCCAACATAATGCCCTTTACCTTCCCTGGAGGCTGTCTGGTTAAGCCAATAAAAGGTCATAACTGAGCCCCTCCAAACAAAAGAGCAGAACCTACTCCTGCTGAGGTGATGGGATCTTTTTCCCATTGACCCGCCAAGCCCGAGAAGCCCAAGTGGATCCTCGGCAAGACCTAATCTGCAAATGGAAGCTCAACGTCCCTGGAGCACGAGCGTGATGCCTAAGGCAGGTGTGTGGTCTGCTCTGGCGTCAAGTACAGGAACCAGAGACCAGGACATGGCAGGTAAGCTTCTTCTCAACACTTCACAGGGGAAGTGCCCTGTGCCATCATGGAGGGTCACTTGAAGTGTCCCCTCAGGTTTCTCCAGGTCACTGTTTCTCATCCTGACCCATCAAGGGCAGCCATCCTGTATCAGAAGGTACATCCCCACCCCGGTAGAAGCTGTCGTGACCACTTGACGGAGGACAGATGTGTTGTCACCACGGTGGCTGTCTGACAACAGCAGCAGACAAAGCAGAGAGGAGGAGGCATTCCTCGCTGACAGGGTTGGGTCCCCACCGGAGGCTGGTGGCTGCCTTCAGACAATTACAGACAGACTTTCAGATACACGCCATGTATCCTTAGGCCACGGCCTATTCCCCAGCACAGCTCAGACCTAGTAATGTCGTGGGCACATGTGACTAATCAAAGTACTAAAATGAAGCTGAAGGTCATATTTTATGTTTCAAAAACAGAAGAAATCAAGGCGAGTTAAAAGAATATTAAGTACATTCCTTTGTGTTTGGAATTGAAGGCGACAGACCAGAGCCAATTTAAATGTTGATTTAAACAAATACATTTTGTGTCTAAATAGACCCTATTTTGGCATATATTCATCATCACTTAAGCTTATTTCACAAACATGCCCAGCAGCTATTTTTGCAAAAACAATAATTTGGATTTGAAGAATTTCAAGGGAAAACAAGCAGGATTAGATCACAATGGAACCAATATTTTGGAAGAATACAAAGCTTTCCAGTTGCTGAGGGTTTTTTAGAAAGTAAAAAGAGGATGGTCTACATACGGGGAGAGAACCAGGTTAATGAGAGGAGAAAGTAACGAGCAAAGATTGCTTTCCCAAATGAGAGAAATAACAGACTAACAGACTGCCTTCTTTACACCCGGAATATAATCTCTCATCCACAATTTTTCAGAACCAGAAATGTTACTTTAAATAATTTTCTGCGAGGACAAGCACGAGAATAGAGGCTCTACAGTAAGTATGCCCAGCCCGCCAGTGCCAAACACAACCCCGGCTCTGCTGGGGTGCATCTTTATCACTGATGCTACTGTTCGTTCCTGTAGGACTGGCCAGTGGAGGTGGGATGTTTACAACAACGATGTAGGTAGATCCACCAGGCCCCCCGGCCTCAGGAGTATACCCGACAGCGGGTGCCCTGCACCATTCGTAGCAAGAGTGCAATTTTAAAAACAGCAAATATCCGCCTCACCTTCAGATGTACGTGTCATAAATTTCTAGTTGACTACAGTTAATACAAAGGTAATTAGCTTTTCTTTACATGAATAACCCTCTTTCCCCTCCCACACACACACACACACACACACACACACACACACACAATAAATACTGAAGGAATTATTTACTCTATAATTGTCTGCCATGATTTAAAGTTAAATAAATAAATAAAGACAAAGCCCTGCTTTGTAATCTCAGCACTGGAAATATATGAAAAATTATACTCACCACATCTAGTCAGAGCCAGTCCGACATTGGGACCAAAGCCACATATATATATTTTAGGCATAAATCTCTATAAAACCCATGTATTACACTCAGGAGACCTAAGCTATCAAACATTTACCATCTCTTAATACACAAGCGGTGCTAAACTGTACTGGTTAGTAAACATTCGTCATGAGCAAGTGCCAATATGGCTACTAAAATTCTAAGTGATGGAGACGACACAGCCGATGCCTTTGGAGTATGTCACACAAGATTGGTGACATCTATTTACATGTGAATAATTACACCGCTGCTTTTTGGTTGTAAAGCAGGGAAATACAGCAGTACAGGGCCCAGGAACAGTGCTCTGGGTAGAAAAGTTTATTCGTGCTGGTGGGAGGCAGGTTTCACTAACAAAGCTGTGAAGCACACGAAGTTCATCCTGATGCAAGTGCTGAGGCAAAGCAACAAAACGTGGGCAACAGTAAAAACCAATGTAATGCTGCACATGACCGTGTTCAAGAGAGAAAAGACTTTGCGTTTTCGGTTTCCTTAGGCCTAGGCTTGGGAAATGTGCTTAGTTGAAATGTGCTTGGAGCTAGTAGGACTCTATGGTTTACAGTGTAATTTTTAAATGATCAACAAGGAAAAAGAATACTCTCAAGTGTCGGCCGTCACAGAAAATCTGAATGGTGTTGAAATGAAAGAAACGAGAAAGGTGGAATTGGTGGAGAGTGTAAAGCTTTCTTTCCATGACTGTCAGAGGCCTGGAGTATGTCCTCCAGCTCTGTTTCCCTCTCCTTGTGGGTTTTTTCCCTTCATGAGATCGTGGTTAGAGAGACTATTTCTTAAATGGAAAGAAACTGTTGCCAAACAGAGAGTTTTAAAGAAAAGCTTGAAAATGAATATATCTTCACAATTAGATTCAGAAAGAAGAAAACACCAAATGAGGTCTATAGTGACTCTTAAAAGGCACTTTACAGTTTAAAGGTTAAAAAAAATCCTCTTACTTAATCCAGTTCATCAGCTCCACTGTATCTGGATCATAGAATTCTCTCAACTCGGAGAGTTCATCCATCATTCCTGGCCAGAACTGAAATTAAAAACAAAACAAAAACAAAAACAAAATCCACCCCCACACCCACAACTATCACTAAGGTTAAAACGAAAGAGGAGAAACTGCATATGACTTGTGAACTAGACAAACAGGGCAGCTGCAGCGCTGGATCGACCTCACCTCCACAGTCCACCCTCCTAGCGTCAACGAGCCAAAGTCCGAGACCAGCTCGCCAAACTACTTGAGCCAAAGCTAGTAAGGCCTAGAGGGGTGGTCAACTTTTAAAACAAGAGCTTTCATTTTCTCTAGTAAAAATGCTGCCATAGGTGGGGTTAGTATCTAGGAAAACGTTAATTTGGATGTGACAGCAATGGCAACCGCGAGGAAGCTCACCGGGTACTGGAAACTGTGACTTCCACTGTGCCATCTACCCTTCAAGACAGAAAGTGCCCTTACAGGACAGCACTGCGTTAGAGCTGCAAACATGCGCTGGAACCCAGAATCTCGTTTCCTCCCCGCAGCTACCCCGGGAGAAGGTGGACACAGAAGGCGTCCTCCCTACTGCTATTTCACTAGTCCGCAGACAGTGGCTCAGGCAGATGACTTAGCCAGGTCACAAAGTGGCAGAGCTACCGCCTGCAGCCTGACTCCAAATCCATCCCCCCTTCACTGTGATTACACGGTTCCCGCTAGAAATCTGGGCAAATGCCTTGTTGTATTTTAATATAATTACAGGTACAATGGGAGAGAGGAGTATTTGAAAGTAGGACTCTCCAGGAAAATCTGGTGCATTTGAATATTCTATTTATGCCACTGATGCCTCCTACTCAACTTGAGAGAGTTAGGGTGATGCAGAGAGAGTGTAAATATCCCACTCTGAGCCCACGGCTTTTCTAACATAATTGCCTGTTTAATTCAACAATTAATTATATGTTCACTGCTGTATCAAATGACAATTGGCTAAGAAGCCTTGATCATCTATATACGTCTAGAGTGAACAGCAGAATTCCTATGTTGGAAGAAGGCCACTGACGATGGGTCTGCGCTTCACTAAAGTAGAAAATGTAATAATTTTATTTAAGAACCAGGAACTGGAACCAGAGTGGCACCTGATCGGTTGGTGGCTGTATTTTAGCCCTGTCACTTTCCCTTCTTCTCATCTCATCTTTGGCCATTTTTTAATGCTCATTCTCATCTTGTTTCCTGGGTGCATGAACCAGGAAAGATGCTGGTGATGGAAAATCACTGCTGGCTCCAAGTTTTAGAAGAGATGTAATCAGAGTGATTCAATGATACCTGTGTAATATTCCAATTATTCCTACAAATTGGGATAATCAACAGAATGCCGATTTTTTAATGACACGTCCTCATTCTTTTGGTATAAAATATATTTCAAAATCTGTGAATTCAATGGATGTGAGATATTTTTCTAGCGTGGGAGTTGCTGTTGTTAATTCTGAAAATGTTCAAATCTAGTAATATCACCTGTAAACTTCTTAAACAACGTGAATATAAGTGTTAGATTAACTAACTGCTGTTTCTAAATGATAGGAGATTTCAGCAACACTAGTAAGTTAATCAACACGAGGGTAGTAATTTCACTAAACTCCCGACTTTTGAGTGAAGTGCATGCTTTTCCCTTCTAAACGGTATTGTCCTAAAGAGACATAAAGCAAAATTGCTACCATTAACAAGAAAATCTGAAATCCTTATTACAATCGCTCTGTAAAACTCAAAATCAGGCTTTGAAATATAGGAGTTCATTTTACTTAAAGGTAGTTCTGTTCAATAGTTGGAAAACAGCTTCAGTTTCAGGGTACTTCTTAATATACATAACATCTTTATCGTCTTTGTGATTTTAAATTTTGAGAGGCTGGAATATCTAAAACATTTGAACAGTGAAAGCTGGATGCATCAGTGTCTCTCCTGAAGTCCAGTACCAAGAAGGGCTATGTGGATCAGGCCAATCTTTGGAAGGAGTCTTCCAAGTTACTGACTCTCTTACTCAAAGAATGTCTACATAGATTTCCTGGAAATGATGGCTTTTTTGTGCTATCATTTTTTTTTTTTATAGTAATGGTTTTCAAGAGGGGTGGGTAGAGGAAAAGATTTTGTCCCACCCCTAAGGGGATGTTTCCCAATGTCTGGTGACTTCTGACTGTCATGATTGGAGGGAGGTACTACTGGAACTTAGGGGGGTAGAAAGTAGGGATGTTGAGACCCAGGACAGCCCCCTAGAACAAAGATTTATCTAGCCAGAATGTCAGTAGCGCCACTGCCAAGAAGCCCCGTTCTATGCATTAGCCCCCACCCAGAGGGCCATGGAAAACACATTTCTAGACTCCCAAAATTTTTGATTCAGTAGGACTGGTCTGGAGTGAGCCACAAACCTCTGTATTTCTAACAAGTTCCTAAGTGATGCTAATGCTGCTTGACTGGGGACCATACTCTGAGAACCAGTACTGTATAGTGTAATTTATTCTATACTGTCCTTCCTCAATTTCACCAAGAACAAGAGGTTTAAGTCCCCAAATAGCTGTAAAAAAAAAAATCAATAAAATTCCAAATACATGGCTGAGACCTAAGAAGTCAGTCTATGCACACAGAGACTCAGGAAAAAAGATTGTGATTGTGTGCGTATATCTTTAGTGCGAGACAAGAAACATGATGAGCTCAATCTTTCCTGCGAGGAGGGCGTTTTATCACTCAGAACCAATGTGAAGAGGTCAAGTTACCTCATTTGTTACTAAACATATATTCTATTTAATCTTTAGTTGTTGCCTTCCAGAGGTTTTAAGGAAGTTTCATTTATTTACATTTAGGGTAATAAAATTCCCAGGGGCAGGGTGGAAGAAATAACCTATTTCTATGTTTTCTAGTATCTGAGTTAGCACAGTGCTCTACCTGCAACAGTAAATGTTTTGATAAATAGGAACATTTAGATAAGTCATACTTATTGGAAATATTTACAATAGAATCATCCCATATTACCAAACATGATTTTTAGCCTAAAACCTTGGCTTCAGATAAAATCTTACGTGAAGGGCTAAGCAAATAAAACCAGAAGCTGAGCACTGCTCTAGCTGGGCCTCTCCATGGGGGACCCCCTCCTCCTTGCAGCCTCCGCCCAAATGAGGGGCTGGACACAGTAGAGTATGAAAGTAAAAAAACCCTAAACTTAGAAAAATACGTCAGATTCTTTAAAAAGAGTGGGTGAAAGCTCAGTTCTATAGCAAAGTCTGGGCTCCCTGCCCAGGTACAGATTCGAGCCTCTAAATCTCAAAGACATGACAAAAGGGTCACCAAACAGTCAGCCTGACTGGCGACTCCCTGTCTCTTACAGAAGATTCTCAGAACTAAAGCACACAGTTAAAGCTATTTCAGAAAGCAGTCAACTGAGAATATGAAGAATTTCACAATTTCCTATTGAAACTGAAGGACAGCTAACAAGGAAGGCTAAGAGGCTAATCTGGGACTGTACATATTTACATACGCCCAGGCTCTTACAAAGATGATCGTAAGCATCTAATAAAACATGCAGGTTAAAGTAAGATGCATTTCGGTATCTCTTACTCTATAAAACAGGTAACGGGGGTAAATTATTTTTCTACTTTATTCATTTCAGTATAGGTCAGAAAATACCTTTATTTTCAAAATTTGCATTAGCTGAATAGTAAGTCAGTCAAAACCAAAATTAATTAGAAAAATTAAACTGTGGTTGTTTTTGCTATAATGTTTTTACTTGTTAAATTCTATTTGGGAAACAGATCAGTTTTCCTGTCAGTGCCAAATGCCTTCATGAGAAGCGAAGGAGATGTCTGTGACCTCAGCAAACCATTCTATTTGCCAATAACACACAGAATACAATGAATCAAAGCAATTATTCTGCTAAATTAATGATGGCAAGAATGAGGAAAATCAGTCTTACCTTATAGCACAGATACAGCAGTATTAATATCGGTACTGAATATCGCATTATACATATCTATATAAGAAAGACATTATTTAGATCACAGGTATTTTTTGCCTTACAGTGTTGCTTTGTAAACATAGGACTTTTTTCTCTTTAAAACAACAGAAATGTACTTTAATAGAGCCCGATTCTCCAATTTGCCCACCATCTAAGTCAATGTAAGGGTCGGGTCCCAATCACTCATGAGATACTCACAGCTTCTATCATGTTGCCACCTTGTGAAATTACACGGGAGAACAACTCAAACTGCATTTACAGCCTATTAATCATAACCATGCACTTATTAATATTTGTTCTAGGTATAACTTATAATAGTGATAAGTCTGGATAACTGTGGGATTATTGGTGATTTTTAATTTTTCCTGGTGTGCTTTACAGTATTTCTAAATTCAGTATAATGAGCATATCTAACTTATGGTCTGGTTAAAAATAAAGGATTTAAAAAATTAAATTAATAATAAAATTATTTTAAAAATAACTCCTTATAAAATCATGTGTCAGGGCACTTGATTTTGGCTCAGGGCATGATTCAGGGTTCTGAGACCGAGCCCCACCTCTAGCTCTGTTGCTGGCCCTGGAGCCTCTTTGAGTTTCTCTCTCTCCCTCTCCCTCTGCACCTCCCCCTTCCCCTGCTCACGATCACTGTTCAAAATTAAAAAAAAAAAATCATAATGTGTCAGTTATCTATTTTCAGCTTCAAACTTTAGTTTCTGTTTCATCAGGCAACTACTGAAAACAACAAGAATTGGTATGAAAGAAATCCTAAAACTCTTAGCAATAAAAGTGAAATGGCAAAGGGACAGCACTGACCCTCTTTGGGTTATAAAGATGGATTGACTTCAGAAGTAATTCCCATATTTCAGGGCTGCATAAACCAAACGACGCGAAGACACACATGTGCGACGTCCAGAGGTACTTCATTCTGTAAGAACAGAGACAAGCGAAGTTCGACAAGTGCCAGCTGCGGACAGACTGCAGTGTGACATGCGACACAGCTGTACCGTCTGTGATAGGAAAATCTGACTAAAGCTGTGCAGGAACCATCTGCCAAAGGGTTAGTTATGAATGTTACTGCCTTTCGAGAAAATCATATAAGTAAAAAGAGAGGAATGTTGGTAATTAGGGGAAAAAAACTGGTTATTAATAATATTTTGTACTGGAGAAGATGCTTAAATAAGGACATTTTTATGGGAAGCATAATTATCAGTGAAGAAGAGTGTTAGTTTCCAAACCACATTGCAAAAATATGTCAGGTAAAGAAAGGGTGGTCGAATAAAAGACTTAATCAAGCAAACAGATAAAGCAAAATACCTCATTGTACTCAATGCCAGGAATCCAAACAGAATGGTATGTATTAGGTTGTAGGCAGTTTCTGGTTTCAGGATGATTGTGCACTTTCCCGTCTGACCCGTGGATTGCTGGCTTTTGGAGTCACTGAATAAAATAGCACACATACAAAATTACAGCTGGATACATAACTTTAAGTTAGTTAAATCTTTTTTAGAGATACCAGAAACTTACGCCTTCGTGATTTAGAAATGTGTTATTGCTCTAAGATAAAATGAATCAGCATCACTCAATTCTGAATTCGTGAGGATAAAACTGTTATAACTTAATGCATTAATAACTAAACTTCAACCAATTTCATTTTAAGTAAAAATTTAGAATGTTCAACCCTTTAAGTTACAGGAAAATAGAAAAAATTCTTTTGGAATCACTTAAACTGCAAGGTATCTTTAAAGATACTTCATGAGTTACTAGCAGTTACTAGCATTTTACAAGTTTTTACAAATAAGAAAAAATAAAAATGAATCCATAAATGTGGAATTCACTTCCTTTATGAACAAATGATCACATTTTAACCAACCAATACCTCATTTAACCAACCAATACCTCATTAAATATGTCTAACATGATTTTTTAAATCAAACGTGGCTATATTAAAATTAGACCCATAAAATAAACAATTCCTTATCACTTAACACCCAATTCTTGCTCTATTTTCCGTTGCCATTGTTTTTTTTTTTTTCCCCAGGGTTTCTTTGAATTAGGACCCACAGCTTTCATGCTGCATTACATCAAGATCTCTTTAAATTATTTTCAATCAATAAAAGTATCCTCCACTTGGAGGCCGTTTATTGGCTGAAGGAAACATATCATTTGTCCTGTAACTACTCCCACCTTCTGGATTTGGCTGATTGTCTCCCTGTGGCGGTGTTTAATACATTTCTGTATTCCCATGCTCCTTATAAACTTGTAATTAGATCTAGAGGTTAATTATTAGAGTCAAGTTCATTTATTCTGGCAAGAACACTGTATGGGGGATATGCTATACTCTAAATTGCATCACACTGGGGAAGTGCATACTGTCCTATCTGGTTGTCTGAACTTTAGAGATGCTAAAATGGGCAAGTGGGTTTGGATGTTGCACCATTTGTTGTCAAGGGAGTGAGGAGAGAGAAAGAAGGGCTGTCAATTTAAGATAAAAACAATACCTTTTACAAAGGCCTCACTTACCCTTCATAAAATCCCATAGACTTGGAATATGTATGATGGTTCCATGCAACTAGAGAACTCTTCTTTGCTAGAAATTCATCACCCTAGATTCACATGAAAATTAAACTGATATTCTAGGGTAATTTTCACCACTGGTAATAATCTTTACTTAGATGTTATATATTACAACCCAAACTCTGGCTTCTATGCTGCTACTAAAAGATTGCTCTAGACAAAGAGAACATATATTCTCATCATGTTCCCTTGATACCTAAGAGAATTTTGCAACACCTCTCCCGATCTCCCCGACCAAGCTGGAAAGCTCTGATTAATCCCATATATACAAAGCCCATGAGTTAATCCCCTTGCGATCCTATTCTTCACATAATGCAGATGTGTTGCATAAACATAATAGTATCATCCTTCCTAGTACTAAAATGGTAGAAATACTTCAAGTACTTGGCATTGATAAAATATCCTTCAAATTATTTAAAAGCTAATTAAAAATAAGATACTATAATTCTTAAATTACTTTAATTAATGTAATGCTTTTCTTCTAATAAGGTTCTAATACCCCTACCTGGTAGATGAGGATGCTCTAAAATCTTTACCTACAATCATACACCAAGTCAGCTTGCAGAGACGGCTCATAGATTCACATTGAGCATGGCAGACATTTTCACAAAATACTGCAGGCCAACTGAACTTCCTGCTTTGCATGCAGTCTAGAGTCCTGTCGACACTTGGCGTGTCTGGAATAATATTAAATTACACTGTCTAGAATAATTTCCATCTATTTTCACAGGGCTAAATTTTATCTTGGGCTAAATATCGGGCTAAGAACACTTCTGAAAGATACTAAAATAGTTTATAGTCGATGAAATATTTTCATGGTTCAATGTGGCTTCACTCTTAATAATCATAAAACATCTCAACTGATCTGGACTCATTTTAATGCCCTTTCTCAGCTCAGCTCTCTGGTGGCTGCGAATCACAGCTCACCAGCACCTTAATTGGCAAGATAACTACAGAGAAAAGGGCTTCCTTCTGAGCTTCATTAAGTTTTCACAAATGACAGTAGCTTCAATTTCTTACACTTAATTTTCTTTCAATTTAACATGGATAGTAAATGCAGAAACCTCCATCGGCTTTGTAGGTAGGTATTCTACAAGCTTTAAAAAAAGTCTTTATACTTCTGTGCTCTTTCTTTTAGCAGATTAGTAGACATGTGAGGTTTTTGAGACATAGTCAATTATTACTGAAGACTTTGGTGCATGCTAATAGTTATGGTCCACTCCAATTTTATAAGACACAACAAAACAAACAATAACTCTCAATATTTCACGAGCCATAAAAAAGGCAGCTAGATGAAAAGGAGAAAAAGAATGGGAAACTAATACTGAGAACAAAATGGAGACTATGAGTCAGTAATAATCACCAGTTAATGACAACTAAAATCTACAAAATATTCTAGAAGTGAGGTACCATTCTAAGTACTATTGTTTGAACTTTCGTACTTCTGACAAAACCCCATAGAGGAACTCCTCTGAGTATCCTCATTCCATAATAAGCATAAGGCGGAACTGGCTCGAAGAGGACAGAGTTCCCAGACCTGTTTTTACTGCATTGCCTGCTGTCTGCTGTCCCTTAGCTGGTCGATCCTTAACTACTGAGCATGTAGTCCACTCTAATCTGGTTACAATCCCCTCCCCTTGAGCTGAACAATACTACCCTGTTTGTGTGTGATATTTTGAATTTCAACCTTGTAGTTTTTCTGCAACACAGACCAAGTTCATTAAAGCATGGGATAGGTTTCTGGAACATGCCGTACCTGAGGTTATGGAAGGCAACCGCTAAGGCTGCCATCACTGTGATGGATAGAACAAATATGTAAGCATAAAAAAGGAGAGTATCTGAAAGCCTTCCGAATGTATTAAAAGGTAAGAGGCCAAATGCTTCTTCACACAGATACAGATTTGCATCAAAATCTCTAGGGAACAAATGAAAACAAAGCCAAGTATTAAATTCAGTACAAGATAAGTAAACCACAAATTTTTCCTCAAAATCAGCTTGGAATTAATAGTTGAAGGCATAATGACAACTTAAGTTTTAAAGTCCCTGTTGAATTAATATAAAAAAGCAAATTTTAAATTCGGTCATACCTTGTTGCTCCAAACCCAAATTTTGCCTTCAGAAATTTAAATATGTGTTCGTCTGACTTCAGATTAAGAATTTTCTATCAGGGAGGAAGAAAATGAAAATTGTTATTAGTGCCTTATGCATGGTTTCCTGATAATTTCCCATTGAATACATGTATTTAGTGTCTAGTTTCACTGAACTGTGTGTGCATATGTTTATGAAATCCGCAAATATTCTCAATAGTTGTTAGAACTGAGGAATTCTAACACAGGGACTTTCAAGCCCTCTCCGTTCCTTTTTTCTTTTTTTTAAGCAGAATCATTTTTTAAAATATCTTACATGTTGAACTTAACATGTAAAATAGATAAAAGGTGAGCTTCTTTGGTCTCAGAGAGAGGGAGAGAGCTGAACCCCAGTAGAGTACAAATTTTTTGATCAGAAAACCAATAATATGATGATCTGAAACCTCAAACAGATACAGAGCCCACAGGGCCTGTCTGGCTTTGGGGTTTCTGTCTGCAGGCACAACTGATAGAAGATTCATCCACACAAAGACAACTAAAGGCCCCATGGTGGCCCTCAGGGTGAACTGACAAATGCCAGTGCGTATCATTAGTGATTATAATTTTAATTCATATAATTTTATTTTTAATATATATAGTTTATAAAAATCCATATAACATAAATGGGTGAAGAAATCCTGTCAGAAGGAAAATGAAGATAGAAAAGAAAAGAAGATGAATCCGTGAGGTTTCAAAGTGAGGTTAGTACATAAAACACATTCACTAGAGATGATCCACAAATTTGGGCTTAAAACATTCAACTAGTAAATGCAGACAGAGATAGAAGCCTAAGTTCTAAGATTAAAACAAACCAGTTGTTCAAAAGAGATGCTAGCCCTCCTAGAACTGAGACTCAAGAGAAATTTTCCCCATGGGTACAGTAAAAACAGCAGGAGTCTCAGAGAAGGTTTTTTTTTAATTCCTCTCATTGTATGTAGTTGGCAAGACATCAAGTACAATTCAATAGATGTTATTCTTTGGGAAGTCAAGAATCAATGGTCCAGGCAGGCAGCTCTCTACTGGCTTAATCCAGGCACAGATCACTGAATATCTAGAGCGGGGGGGAATGGATGAACTGCGTATCTTTCAGCCAATCCTTCAGAAATGCTGATTGCTCAGCTCAAATAAGCTTTTGATAAGTACTGAACTGTATGGGGCTTAAGAACATAGTGGCAAGGACCCGGAGTGGAAGTGTTTAATGTGGCTGGATGAGTGAGAGCCTTTGATAGTCAACAGACAGGAAGAGGGACTGCCATTCTCTTATGGAAGAGAAGGAGTCTGTCTTGTACATGCAGATGTCTCCTGTTCTGAAACCAGCCTTCTAGAAGGGGCAAAATCATCTTAATAAATCACTGCGGTTCTGTAAAATCAGTTTATTATCTCTCTCTTTTTTTTTTAAAGTAATCTCCACGTCCAACATGAAGCTCCAAAGGGCCATACCGAGACCAAAAGTCACATGCTCCACCAACTGAGCCAGCCAGATGCCCTGCCACCTTATTTACCTTAACCCAATTAAACAAAAGTCATTTTTTTTGTACCAGAGTGCAAGAAAATGCTCTCTAAAAAGCAGAATTTTTAAATTTAGAGAAACACTTGTTTAATGCTTTTAAAGTTGAGCTTTTAAAAAGTTTAATAACTCACAAAGTGAGTTCAAGTTAGAACATATTAAAGAGTATGTTCTCATTTATTTGGGGAATATAAATAATAGTGAAAGAGAATAGAAGGGAAGGGAGAAGAAATGAGTAGGAAATATCAGAAAGGGAGACAGAACATAAAGACTCCTAACTCTGGGAAACGAACTAGGGGTGGTGAAAGGGGAGGAGGGCAGGGGGTGGGGGTGAATGGGTGACTTGCACTGAGGGGGGCACTTGACGGGATGAGCACTGGGTGCTATTCTGTATGTTGGCAAATTGAACACCAATAAAAAAATAAATTTATTATTTAAAAAAAAAAGAGTGAACAGGGGCACCTGGGTGGCTCAATCAGTTAAGCATCTGCCTTTAGGTCAGGTCATGATCTCAGGGTCATGGGATTGAGCCTCATGTCAGGCTCCATATCCATACTCAGCAGGTAGTCTGCTTCTCCCTCTCCCTCAGCTCCAACACCCACCCCGCTCATGCTCTCTCTCTCTCAAATAAATGGGTAAAAATCCTTTAAAAAAGAGTGAACAGAAATCCATGATTAAAATCAAGAAAACTGTTATTGAGACAAAGTTAAAGCAGAGCTTGTTACAAGTAAAACTGGTCATTCTGTAGTAATGTAAATTAAGGGTTGTTTTATTAACCTACCTTAATAATGCTGTTGAGAAAAAGTGTCAAACACAAAACTGCAAATAAATGTAACAATAGTTTCCCAAGCCTATTAAGGAAGCTTCCAGTCTTCAGATTTTTCTAGAAATTAAAACAGTTGAGTTTTAATTCTTAGATTATTTTGTAAACACTTAAGATGAGATTACTTAAGGATTTAAAATATCAGATCATGCAACATACAGAGAAAATATGTGGAAAATATAACCTAATTTTTATGAGGTTACAATGTCTTAATATTTGTAAATTTCTAATATAAGAGTAAATGAATTCCTTAAAATGCTTCAAAGGGCAGAGAACTGTCCTAGTCTTCCTTTTTTTTTTAAAAGATCTTTGCAACCAGAGCATGGCGTCTGCCAGAAGGTACTCAGGATACACGGACTGAACAAATCTTGTGATCATTGATCCAGTAATTCAAATAGCACAGACATAGCCATAACCCAATTAAATAAAAGAGCTGTCAGTATAAAAGAAGGTAAATTGTGCTCTTTGATACATAATAGTTTTCTCATAATCCTTAGATAACTTTACAGATTATCAAATATCATCTAAGGAGTTAAATATGCATGATTTTTATTTATAATTAAAGTTAGAAGGATGAATGAGAACTACTGTTTTAGATAATCAACTAAAGCCTGTTTTTAAAAATCTTTGTGACAGCTTGTCCATGACAGCCTCCCTCCAAAGAAAAAGGATTTATTCTTCCCAAAGCAGAAAGTAAAACAGCTTCTTGATATAAAAGTGTTTATGAGAAATGTTTCTCATATGCTTATGAGAAAGAAAACAGGCTCTGTGACATTATATGAAGAAAAACAATGGACTCTTAATTAAATCTCATGTAACTTTAAGAAATTTGAATTATTTAATAAAGCCAAAAGATAGGGTCAATGTTTTCAAATGTGACACTCTATGAAGTGTCCCCTTATTTCTAAATGTATGTATTTGGATTCTCAAAATTCTCAGAGTTAATTTTAAGTCACTTAAAAATCAGTACCATGGTATGGAACGATGGGGTAAAGAGCAGTGCTCAGTGCTGTGATATCAGTAATAAGGTGTCCACCAACTTGAAGGACATTGTGATGAACATATTTCCCCAAGCAATGGGTTCTTTTTACTCTTGGATTCACACGCAAAGGTTAAAGATTTTTGCTCTTTTACCTTTGTATCAATGGCTTTCAAATAAGCATTTTTGGTTAATCCCTGAACTGAGATTCCTATTCTCTAAGAAAAGATGTCAAAACAAAGGGATGGCCCATCAGAAAGCTTGAAAACAGAAATGCTAGACCATGCATGTAAAAAACAAACAAACAAACAAAAAAACAACCCACATAACACCTAAATAATGTCCTCAGTGCTTTTTAGTAGGAATTTGGTCATAAATCTTCCTTTCTGTGCTGTATAAAAATAAGGCCCAACCAACCACACAATTAAAAAAAAAAGTTTGCTTTAAGGACCAAAAAAAAGTCCTACCTGAAGTTTTCTTGCAATTAATACTGAAAGATTAAAACTGATAAGCAATGATCCAAGAATCATAGAATTAAAAAACTGAAGAATGCAGACCAGGAGCAAACCTGTCATCTGGATGCCATACAGCCAGGTTGCCTGCAACAAGCAAAGATTAGATGGTGAAATGGATTTTACTAAGAGACTACCACATGCTGATATGTTTTGGCCACTAGCTGGATACATTTCAAATTACAAATAAAGCAGGAAACACACCTAGCTTCACATAATTCAGTAAAAAAAAAATCCCCAAAACTAAATCATTTACATACTGTTTATTTCCCTTTTAATTACACAGCACTTTAAACTTTGTAACTTTAATTATGGAGGAAACAAACAGATAATATGAGGTATAAGAAGCAAACAATGGCATAAATATATTCTGGAAATGGGCAAAGGAGTCTGTAGCATTCAATTTTCTTCTGAATTCTTTTACAGTTACTGTGTACGGTATTTTCTCATATTTTGTTATTTCTGATTTTTCCAACATTTCAGGACTGTGCCAAATACTGCTTTATTTTCTGTGTGTGCTTAATTCTATTAGACTGACAACTCCTCCCAGAGCAAGGCCTTTGACTTTCTACCTCATGGATCTAGAGCAGGTGGCAAAGAGCAGCGGTCAAGAACACAAGCCCTGATGTGAACGGCACCTATGCTAGAGTGCTGACTCTGACATAAACCAGCTGTGGGTCCTTCATGTGCTAGAACACGTTCATCTGTAAGACAGGGATGATTACACCTTCTTCGGAGCTGCCATAAGGGCCTGGCATAAGGACCGGATGTGGTAATGTTTTAAAATGCCTAGCACATAATGAGCACTCACTAAAGACTGCTCTTGGTGTAGAACTGTTGACAGGCTGATACGGAGAGAAGCAAAGCTCCTAAAATTTGTATGGAACCAGAAAAGACCCCAAATAGCCAAAGGAATGTTGAAAAAGAAAACCACAGCTAGAGGCATCACAATTCCAGACTTCAGCTCTTCTGTAAAGCTATAATCACCAAGACAGCATGGTACTGGCACAAAAACAGCCAAAGATGAATGGAACAGAATAGAGAACTCAGAAATGGACCCTCAACTCTATGGTCAACTAATCTTCAACAAAGCAGGAAAGAACATCCAATGGAAAAAAGGTCTCTTCAACAAGTGGTGGACAATGGATAGCAACATGCAGAAGAATGAAATTGGACTCCTTTCTTACACCATACACAAAAATAAACTTAAAATGGATGAAAGACTTAAATGTGAGACAAAAATCCATCAAAATCCTAGAGGAGAACACAGCCAGCAGCCTCTTTGATGTTGGCTGCAGCAACTTCTTGCTAGATACATCTATGAAGGCAAGGGAAACAAAAGCAAAAATGAACTATTGGAACTTCATCAAGATAAAAAGCTTTTGCACAGCAAAGCAAACAGTCAACAAAACCAAAAGACAACCTACAGAATAGGAGAAGATATTTGCAAATGGCATATCAGATAAAGGGCTAGTATCCAATATCTATAAAGAACTTATCACAACACCCAAAGAAGAAATAATCCAGGCAAGAAAAGGGTAGAAGATAAGAACAGACATTTCTCCAAAGAAGATATACAAATGGCCAATAGACACATGAAAAAATGCTCAACATCACTTGGCATCAGGGAAACACACATCAAACCACAATGAACTATCACCTCACACCAGTCAGAATGGTGAAAATTCACAAGTCAGGAAACAACAGATGTTGGTGAGATGCAGAGAAAGGGGGGCCCTCTTACACTGCTGGTGGGAATGTAAGCTGGTGTAGCCACTCTGGAAAACAGTACGGAGGTTCCTCAAAAGAGTTAAGATAACACTACACTGCTATCCAGCAATTGCACTACTAGATATTTACCCAAAGATATAAATGTAGTGATCTGAAGGGGCACCTGCACCCTAATGGTTATGGCAGCAATGTCCACAATGGCCAAACGATGGAAAGAGCCCAGATGTCCTTCAACAGATGAATAAGTAAAGATGTGGTATAAATATACACAATGGACTACTACTCAGCCATCAAAAAAATGAAATCTTGCCATTTGCAATGACGTGGATGGAACTAAAGAGTATTATGCTAAGTGAAATAAGTCAATCAGAGAAAGATAATTATCATATGATCTCACTGATATAATGAATTTAAGAAACAAAACAGGATCACAGGGGAAGGGAGGAAAAAAATAAAACAAGAAAAAATCAGAGAGGGAGACAAACCGTAAGAGACTCTTAATTATAGGAAACAAACTAAGGGTTGCTGGAGGGGAGGGGAGGGGAAGAGAGGAATGGGGTAACGGAGTAATGAAAGGAGCACTGAGTATTATATTAAGACTGAAGAATCACTGAACTTCACCTCTGAAAATAATACAATATATGTTAATTAAGTGAATTTAAATTTTTTAAAAAAGAAGCAAAACTCAACCAACTTATACACAGAACACATGCCACAAAGAAAAAGTGACAGCCCCTAATAAAGAGCTGACACTTTCACAAAAAAGATTTAGTTATTTACCTGAGAGAGAATGCACGTGAGAGCATGTGAGTGAGGGGAAGGGCAGAGGGGGAGAGAGAATCTTTAAGCAGACTCCCCAGTGAGCATGGAGCTCGAGGCAGGGCTTGATCCCAGGACCCTGAAGTCATGACCTGAGCCAAAATCAAGGGTTGGACGCTTAACGGACTGAGCCACCCAGGTGCCCCAAGAATTGATACTTTCTTTCCTCTCTGAAATTGGACAACTCCATATTTTACTGGAATATGAAAAATTCTGCTTTTATTTAGCAGCAAATTAGATCTCCCTCATAGTTTTGTTTTCTTAACCTCAAAGGAAACAAACCTATTATCAAGCATCTAAGGGCACAGTCTGCAATGGTTCAGTGCTTTTGCTTGGTGTTAACAGAAACTCGGATGTTAAGATTATAAAGACACAATATTTTATTGTAAGAGATTTAGAAGATCTAGGAAAACATAAGAAAGAAACAATAATGGATAGAAAGGTGGGCTCTAAAATCGAAATCCAACACCATTACCTACAGAAATAATATTGATTTCAGAGTGGTGTATGATATTTCATGTAGCATTTTACTTATTTCACATTATATTGTATCCTTTTCTCACATCAATGACTATTCTGTGAAAACTTAATTTTAAATGGCTACATAACATTCTACCATATGCCATAATTTGTCTGCCAGTGGACCATTTGTTTCCAGCTTTTTATTACTGTCTAAATTAATGTTATGAACATCCCTTAAAAAACAAATCCTCAGATCATGGTATCTGATTACACTCATCCACCCTTATCTGCCATGGATATGTTCCAAGACCCCCAGGGGATGCCTGATAGCATGGACGGTACTGAATCCTATAGATAGTACGTTTTCCCCTATACGTACATACCTGTGATAAAGCTCAACTTATTCGGCACAGTAAGAGATTAACAACAATAATCAATAATAAAAGAGAACAATCATAACCAAATATGGTACAAAATTTATGTGAATGTCGTCTCTCTCAAAATCTTTACTTATGCTGTACTCCCTCTTCTTGTGAGGTCACGTGGTAAAATATCTAGGTGATAAGATGAAGGGAAGTGAGTGATGTAGGTGTGGTGACACAGCATTAGGCTACTACTGGCCATTTATCAGAAGGTGGATTATCTGCTTCTCACCGTGGCTGACTGCACATATGAAACCATGGATAAGGTGGGGGGTGTGACTTCTGTAGCTACTTAACTTGCTCACTGTTGTATATTTAGTGCCTGAAACACCCACTAGATCAGGGTGGCTCAATACATAAGGAATGAGTGAACGAATGAATGAATGAATGCATTTCCTTAGGATAGATTTCTAAAAGTATAATTACTGGTTAGTGAAGAAATAGCTTTTGCTTTTTTTTTTTTAATTTTTTTTGAATTTTTATTTATTTATGATAGTCAGAGAGAGAGAGAGAGAGAGAGAGAGAGAGAGAGAGGCGCAGAGACATAGGCATAGGAGAAGCAGGCTCCATGCACCGGGAGCCCGATGTGGGATTCGATCCTGGGTCTCCAGGATCGCGCCCTGGGCCAAAGGCAGGCGCCAAACCGCTGCGCCACCCAGGGATCCCCAGCTTTTGCTTTTTAATAGCTCAATTGACATAATTCATATACCACAAAATTCACCTATTTAAAGTGTACAATTCAGGACTTTTAGTATTAATAGAGTGGTGCAAATATGACCAGAATCTAATTTTAAGAGATCCTCGTCGTCTCCCCAACATCCCCACCACCACCACCACCAAATTCCATAGTCCTCCCTCCTTACTCTCTTCCCCTCATTCCTGGCCAACACTTACCTACTTTCTGCCTCTAAGGATTCGCATATTCTAGACATTTCATATAAATAGAACCCCACAATATTTGTTTTTTCTGTGCCAGGCTTCTTAGCACTACATTTTCAAGGTTCATTCATCATGCAGTAGCATGTATCACTACTTCATTCTTTTTTACTATTGAACGATATTTCATTGTACCACATTTTGCTTCCCCATTTATCAAGTGTTGGGCATTTGGGTGGGTTCCACTTTCTGGCCATTTACAGTCATGCTTCTATAAACATCCATGTACAAATTTTTAAGTGGATGTGTTTCCATTTCTCATGGGTATGTACGTGGCAGTAGAATTGCTGGATCACATGGTAACTCTATGTCTAACACGTGAGGAGATGCTAAATTGTTTTCCAAAATGGCTGCACCATTCTGTAATCCCGCCAGCAATGTATGAGAGTTCCAACATCTTCACAACCTTGCCAACATTTGTTATCATCTGTCGTCGTTGTTGTTGTTTTTAGATTTTAGCCATCTGAGTAGGGGGGAAATGGTATCTTACTTTGGTTTTGATTTGTGTTTCCCTAATGAGTAATGAGGCTGAGCATCTTTTCATGTGCTTGTTGGACATTTACATATCTTCTCTGGAGATATGCCTATCCAATCTTTTGCCCATATTTTATTGTTGAAAGAGTTCTTTATATATTCTGGAAGTGCCTTATCAGATACAGGATTTGCAAATATCCTCTCCCATTTTGTGAGTTGTCTTTTCATTTTAATGGTATATTT